AAGCAGTGGTATCAACGCAGAGTACTCGCGGCGGTGGTCGAGTGTGCAAAGCTTTACGATCGTCCGAATCGCGTACATCCGTTTCAGGCAGAACTATGTTTTACACGTAGCTACCGTAACCCGAGAAAATGACGCTACGCTTTAAAACCAACGTGATATTTGGCATCAGCGGGCCGAATAACCCCTCTGGGCCGACTTTCGAGCAAATCCGTGATTTTGACCCCTACCGTAATCCTACCGTTTCTCCACCGGATGGCGCTGTCGCACAAAATAAACATCATATTCGTGTTCAGCATACCAAGTAACCTCCCTAGACGAAGTTTTAGCGAAATCCACGATTTTCATTTTTTGGGTCAACTAATGTGGAATAGTACCGACGAAAGCTAGGTGAATATAAGAACTGTTCTTGTCTTGATATACAGGCTAGACCATAGTAAAAAGAAGATAAAAGAGGTGGACCACAAAGAAAAGCCCTCACTTGGCCACAGTTGCAGTAGTAAGTGTACAATGGTTTGACAAAGTATTCTTCACGATCGTCGATATCCACCAATCTCGACTCTCCCTGAAACTTCCAAGCTTTATGACAACAAAAAAAGTGTAGATAGCTTGGAAAGCAACATGAATAATGAATATAATTGATTTCTAACTATAATCCGAAGTGACTTACATTCTTATCGTCTTCAACGTGCGAAATCTCTTGCGCACCGTCATTTCCCAGAACATTCAAAGCCATTCTGAGGAAGCCTATACAAATAAAAATGATGTCTTTCAATACAAATAAAAATGATGTCTTTCAATGTTACAACTAATGCAATAAGACAAAAGTGCAACAATTTCAGAGATTCTGAGGTTGAAAGAATCCAACATTTGCTTATCCAAGTGCTAAATAACACTGGAAAGCCAAAGCGACCTGATTCTCAGATGAAATAACCCTGAAACCGTCAACTCTCAGACAAATCTGCGCGCAGGCGGCGCGCACTGGCCGCACTGCAGACCGTCGTCACGATTTTTAGAGTCGACGATACCTTCCCGCCGCCGAGGACCGGTAACGGCAGAGTGGGCGATCGAATCCGCGCGGCGGCGGCAGCGCGGTTCGCGCTGGGACCCACGAGGATTACGGTACATCCCGCTCCGAGTGTCCGCGGAAGCACTGAATTTCTTTATTTCTCTTTCTATCTGTTTGTTTTCTCTCCTATACTCGGATGACCGCTACTTTGGATCGCCCACTCTTCCGTTACCGGTTCTCCGATCGTATTCGCCGCGCAGAACCGGATCACTTTCTCGGGAATACGCACTTTTTGAATAGTTCCGATAGCAGCCGGCTTCTCAGCCTGCGCATTCAAAATGGTTTTTCCCTTTAGATCACTTTGACATCATTTTGTTTTTTGTTGTTGATGCCATCTTCCCACCACTTCATTATAAACGTCTCCAATCATACAGACCTTCAAAGTAGTTCGTTTTCATCATCTGCATTCTATAACTTACAGATATAACACCGTCGATGCCCAGTACAAGGAAGATGCGAAAGACGGCTCGGGGAACGTGGTAACGAAGAGCCTGTTTCAAAACCTGGTGCAGAAATTAGCAAAAATCTGGGAAGGTACGAGTGACATGCTCGTAACTAAACTCTTATATAACTATCTTGATTTTGTGAAGATTTGCCGAGCGTCGTACCGATATCTTCGGTGTTGATGCTGCTGGAGCAGAACAAACGGTAATCGGAAAAAAATTGGGAGAGGAAGCTCCGCAGCCTGCAAAGGTTAGTACAATCTGGTTTCATTGGATTTTGATGCCTGTTAGAGAAATATGTGAGTTCTTCGACCATTTAGCATCAGGTTTTTATGGCACATTCTTGTAACCCCTTCTCTCAAGAGTTCTGTTTATTTTCCCGTGCGTGATTCAGTATTTGAATTTCCAGCAACTTATTTGGGATGGATCTGAAGAGACTCGTAAAGCACACTCTTGCCGTACAAAGCCAATTCACGATTGGTAAGTTTACTGGTTTTTTACTGGCTCTGTTAGTTTTTCGCAGTAAGTTGTACATAAAAAAACTTTTTCCGTTAGTTGATTGTATTTTGTTCAAAGCAAGTTTTGCATTCTTTTTTGGGTTTTTCTTTGGGACACATTTTAGATCAACAACTCTACGAAATTCATCGTCAACACGGCGTCCCACCCGATGCGTCGAAAGAACGCATCGGGACACAACAAGTTGCTCAGCACCAACGCACTGCCGCCGCCGCTGCAGCTGCTGTTGCAACTGCTCAGCACATGACGGCATGTCCTTCTAGCGCTGCAGGGCTGATGCCATTACCAGCAGTTTTTGCCAGGGCGCAGACGGGCATACCAATGCGTGTACCTGGCAGTGGCATGCCCGTACAGGTGACCATGGCAGGTTATGGTGCCATGCCTCCCCCACCAACTTCAGATTTCATTGAATAAAACTGGTGTTGCTTATAGAATACTTGCTTTAGGAACCTGAGGCTCCTCCGCCAAAACGTTAAAGAACTGATGAGCTGGAGCCGGAGGCTGAATGGTTGAAGAAGGTAGAAAACGCTTATCATTTAGATTTTCGTCTACGGTGTGATTTTGCAAATTAGTGGACTATGAATCATATTTTGCGCGTTTACTTTGTACTGATCACTTCATATCTCAGGTGAATGGTGCGATTGACTTGCGTATACAACTACCTGTAAGTGCAGAGTTTAACATGGATGGATCGATCATCGGATTACAGATCGATGTTTCCTTGCAGGTGAGTCTACTTCGGTTTCTTGAAATCGTTGGACTTATTTATTACAGTTGCTCTGTTGACAACTGCTAGTATTATATTTTACATTCATTGTGGAAATTTGCATCTAGAAATGCCTCAGAGCATCCTTATCAAAGTTTTTGCAGGTAACGGACCTCCAGCAGCAACTTCAGGATAAGCACAGCATGCCAACAAGATAGCTGAAGCTTACTTCGATGTGAATACACACATACTTTTTTGTTGTAAATTCTTAATTCGTTCATTGGATTTTTTGATCTGGTAAAACCAAATCGGTCGAATATCAAGGAGATCTAAGTTTGTTTCAATTAGTTTTACCATTTTAGGGTTTCTTTCTGAAAGACAACTTCTCTTTGGCCTTTTACAACATGAAGAAGCAATCGTTCGTTATTTTGCAGATTAAGGAAAGAGGAGGCAAAAACAAATGAATGTAAACTGTAGATTATGTGTTGTATGGTCGTGTATTTGTTTCGCGTACCGATTTTCTGCTTGGATAGTACCTTGTAGCAAGTTTGTATTGAACCACTTTTACGTAGATGTAAATTGATCTGAGACATCAATATGATTTAGTGGTAAAAAAAGGATTTTCAATAGATCCTTTGTTGTAGCATTTTATTCACAAAATCTACTACATTGACAAAAATACAGCAAAGAATTATCAAGCGATGGAATCGCATGAAGCAATCAAATTCGACACGACCTTTCGCGGTTTGGGATTCTTATCTTCGGCGAACATCCATTACATCGTACACATTCACGATGCCGGTGGTTGATCTGAACTCATTTAAGTGCAAAGCGTAAAAAGTGCTAAAATAACTTACCCGCGAGCAACTTTACTATCATCACCACTTAGTCGTATCTTTGTCCCACGGGCAACCCTTATCATGGAATAAATGCTGGGACCCTTGCAGACTGGCAACTTCACTTCCTTCTGCAAATGCATACTTTTAGAAATTGTCTAATCTCAACCCAATACGACGCGCGTTTTCCAAGCGCGGATTTCCAAAGATTTGCTCCGTCATAAGAGCAACTTTTCTGATTGCTAGTGATGTCGGCAAGAAAGTCAAAGCTCTCAAAATTGCTTTTGATTGAAAAACCAGATCATCATGAAAGGTTTAGGAAATCATGAATATAAACAGAACAGTACCGTGGGCCAATGCTAGGCCACGCCGTCATTAATGGGTTGACTACACAGCCTCATAAAGTTGAAGAGCTTGCGCAAGTGATGTGGAGAATTGAATGACGGAAGAGAGAACAAACCTTTCAAAGCTCATAGCTCACGATTAAAATCTGGCAAAAACTGCAACGACGTCACTTCCGCAGAGGCAAAGAGTGTTCTCACCAGTTCCACCGACTAACGAGAACATATATCGAACTCTGAATTGAGAGAAAAACAGTCAAGGAAAGTCACTGACAATCAAAAAACAAGTACTTGCGAGCTATGAGCAATCATAGCCACTAAAGAACGCTAATGTAGATTTATACAACTTTTTAAAGTTCTTGAAAGAAAATCAAATAAACAAAGACATGTAGAATCACTTACATTATGCGGCTTCTTCACATCAACATCAACCATTGGAGTAGCAACGACGTAGAAAAACAACGGTAAACTTGGTCTAAAGTGTGTAAACTGGCACAATGAAAATCGGTTGCGTCAATGCTCCAACGACGACGTTAGACGTTACGGTCGCACATATACGGGGCCAATCGATGGTAAAATGCGTGCGTAACTGAATAGAAAAGAAGCAGACGTATTGGAATGGACTGAATAGTTGTTTACAAAGGACAAGAGTGAACGACGATGAAAACGAACTACTTTGAAAGTCTTATGATTGGAAATGTTTATAAGGAAGTGGTGGAAAGATGGCATCAACAACAAAAAACAAAATGATTTCAAAGTGATCTAAAGGGAAAAACCATTTTGAATGCGCAGGCTGAGAAGCCGGCTGCTATCGGAACTATTCAAAAAATGCGTATTCCCGAGAAAGTGATCCGGTTCTGCGCGGCGAATACGACCGGAGGACCGGTAACGGAAGAGTGGGCGATCCAAAGTAGCGGTCATCCGAGTATAGGAGAGAAAACAAACAGATAGAAAGAGAAATGAAGAAATTCAGTGCTTCGGCGGACACTCGGAGCGGGATGTACCGTAATCCTCGTGGGTCCCAGCGCGAACCGCGCTGCCACCGCCGCGCGGATTCGATCGCCCACTCTGCCGTTACCGGTCCTCCCCGCCGCCTGTGTGTGCAGTGCGCGCCGCCTATGGATTGAAGGCCCGCCGCCTGCGCGCTACGAGGAAAATTTTGGCAGGAATCTGCTCGGATTTTTGTTGTCGGTCTGAATATCTTATGCTTGTTGGACAATATGGTTTCACAACTGTTTTATTAACGAATAATATCTACAATTTTCAAATTTGACAGGTTTTAACACAAATTGCAACAAAATACAGTATTTACAGGATAAGGCTGTCTTTGACAGCTGGCATTCAATACTATTAGCTTAGGTAGTACTTACAAAATTCACAAACTTAAAGTACAACAACAAGGTATTACATTCAAATGTGATATTAACAAGACGTGTGTATGAAGTAATGAATACAATGAAGTTGATAGTAACTAATGCAACAGTATGACGAGATAACTTGAAATAACTGCCAGTAAAATCACTAAGTACTTTGATAAATAAATTGAACAGTATACATAGATATGAATGCATATAGAGGAATAAAATATGAAAATGCGATAGCAATGAACAAAACGCGGGCATGCTTGATCAGCCAGAATTGAATGCTCCTGGAATTCATATACTCAATTCAATTGCAGGAATAAAACAATTGGATGACGGAGATATGATAAGTATAAGCATGAAAATTGGGATGAATGATGAGACATGAACAAATCTAAGACATGAATAATCTGGATCAGCCTCGTCCTCGTTAGTTCTCGTAATGGTTTTTGTTCTATCAAGAGTTGATTCCATCAGTCGGTCTAGGCGCATGCTGTGGCGCTGAAATACACGCTATTAACAAACTGAAGAGAAAAAGCAATAAATATTGACGAATGCAGATAAAAATGCATTTTTTCACCTCTTCAAGATAAATAAAGTCAGGGCTGAGGTCCCATGACCATAAATTGGTCATAAAGAAGCAGCGTCCTCCTCCGCTTACGTGAAGCTACAGAAAGTTCATTGCGCGCCGCCTGCACGCACATTGTGTCTGCGCGCCGCCTGCGAACATGCATTGCGCGCCGCCTGTTGGCTGAAATTAGTGCGCGCCGCCTGTGCGGTGCAAGGTCACGCCCACAAATCACGGCCCGCCGCCTGCCCTGCTGGCCATGAGTGCGCGCCGCTTGCGCGCAGAATTGTTTGAGCTGAAGTCACAAGGAAAGACGAGAATTGGACGAGAGCCAAGAAGTGCGAAATGGTCACGACGTAAAGTAGTGGAGGCTCTGTGCGATTACAGATGAGTCCTTCAAATGACGACATGCGGTGAAGGTCTGCTGGCTCCACGGTTGAGAAGTTTGTTGGACTTTTACAAGTTTACTACTCTGTGAATGGGGAATTCCTTGGATTGGCTTTCAGTTCTGAGGTCCCTCAGATGTATTGTCCACTTTTAAATAAGTCGTTTTGATTCGAATTTCTGAAGATGCAAGGAATCGGAGCATTCCTTTTCTAGTAACTTTTCGAAATTACGTAGTCCTATGTAATGGAACCGAGCAGGTTTCAGGCGGCCAAAGCAATTCTCACAACACTTTTACCGCGATATAAATGCCTATCGATTGTTGTGTCGAAAAATAGCATTCCTTTGCGCGCTAAATTTGAATCCGCCAACAAAGGCTTTTCTTTTTTGAATCTGCCGCATCAATCCGCTCTTATTTTTATCTCTAGTCGCTTTTCGTCTTTAGATTGCTGAGTGCATAGAAGCATAATGGATTCGCAGAAGTGACATTCACTTTCATTCAATCATATGGCATGACGATGAGTTTTTTTTGACCAAAACCTTGAGAATTTGGATAAATTTGTGAAAGAACTTCAAATCAAGGAGCTCATAATTTGCTATAACATTCTGGTACTACAGTTATCATTGGGACCATTCTTCCACTAGTTTTTGCCCAAATTCCTAACAATAAGCACGAGAAAAATTCAAATCACTCTCGAGCTGAAATTGAAGTGATATTGAGATTTCTAATCGTATATCGTTCTACGCTGTGGTTTACGTTTCACGCTGATTATAGCTCAGTGACATCAATGCCGCGCCGCCGCAGTGTACGCAAGCAGTTTTATTGTCTGCGTCAATAAACTTCCTTGCGCGCGAAACTTTTCACGAATTTGACATTGGAAGGAATACTACTGCTGCATTTGTGTTGTTACTTCATCCTCATCATCCTTCTAGTCCACGGTCGTATTTGCAGCCGCACCATATTTGTTGGGACGAGACAATAAATACTATTATTTGTCTATTATAGGTACACGGTACCAGAATGCTGCTAACAGATTGCAAAACATATTTCCACACTGATAACCTTTACGATGTTCTACGGATAGATCGTAGTGCAACTGCAACTGAAAGTGAGTTTTGTTGCGCCTTTCAAACTTCGTGAACATCAAGTCTAATTTCAGTCAAGAAGGCCTATTATAAGCAGTCCATGAAATGGCATCCTGACAAAGCTGCTAATGATGAGGACTCAACGAAAAACGCAACTGTTCGTTTCCAAATCTTGACGAAAGCTTACCAAATTCTATCAGATAAGGAAAAACGTCTGCTGTATGACGAATCAGGCATGTGTTCTATGAAGTGGAGTGGACATATTTTCCGCTGTTTAAATGATTTAGGTGTGATTGATGAGGAGAACGTCCTGAGTGAAGAGGATAGCATCAATATGTGGCGGCAGGTGTTCAAAAAAGTCACCGTGGAAGATATTGAAAAGTTTGTAGCTCAATATAAAGGTAAGTAGCCTTATCGAATTCTTTTTTCCTTCGTGTATGTAATCACGGCCCTTTTTATTGGGTTCGAGTGCTGTCATATCCATCCTGTTTCCTGTCGGGTGCCAATGTGCATGCGCTAGTACAGGGTGCCGCATCGGAGGCGGATCTGGCGCGACAAGTACGCTAAAACGCATGCACAATTGGCATGCCACAGGAGAAGATAAATATGGCGGGACATTTACTTGTCATCTCCACGAAATCTGCGATTCCAGGATCGGAAGAAGAGGAAGGAGATATCATAGCTAGCTATAATTTGTGCAACGGTGATATGACGAAGATTATGGACTCAATCATGGGCGCAACATATGAGGACGAACCGAGAATCAAGGTACTTTACCCAGAATTAAACTTGGTTCCAGGGTTAAGCGTGTTGATGCGATCCTGGACCCTCATTTACGACCCCCCCCCCCCTCCCCCATCTATCCCCTTACCTCCCCTGCCCACATTTCTCGCGGTAACCTGCATAATGTCAATCTCAAAAAACACCTGCGTGAGAACTTCAGTGAGTTTTCGGAAGCAGAATTTCTAAGCCAATGGGTGCGCCCAGCATCTTTAGCACATATACACACCTTCGATAATGTCCAAGATTCTGCAATAACTTTTGAATTTTCAGGCATACTTCAGGCCAGCAATTTCGACTCCCGTATGCGACACAAATTTTTACACGGAGAACAAAATGACATTTTTGAACTACAAAAGATGTTTTCGACTGAAAAGCTCAGTTCTTACCTCTTCCACAGTTTTTTCTGCGAAAAAAACCGCTTTAGCGCCGTCCAGAACGACGTCAAAAACATGCACGAGCACGGTAGTTTGAAAATTCGTAACTAAGGCCAGGAAAAGACTGAGAGGCTGCAAAGAACAGGTTCTGTAGCATAGTGCCCAGACTATTCACAGAAAAAGTTTCAGCCCTTGAGGAGCAGTGAGCTCGAAAAAATTTAGATCAGGCTCTCGCAAATTTAGGCGATCCTAAAAAGCAAAAACTGGGATTTTTGAGCTTAAAGTTTTGTAGCTTACCAGAGAAGTTATAAAACAGCCTGAAATTCTTATGATAAAAACTAGAGGGATGGCCTCGTATTACAGCAAGTTTGCATCTAACAAGCTTCCAATAGCTCCGGAGAAATTTAGATCAGGCGCAGACACGACCCCCCTTTCCTCATTTTTTGCTACCATACATAAAATCATAAGAAAATCCGCAGTTAATAAAATAACACCAGATTTCGCACAGCAGTAGCAGGGCTTATCTAAAGTACATATAAATTGTAAGGGCCGCATAAATGGCATTACAAAAAGATTTACGATTTATTAATTGTCATTATTGATCTACATGTGAGCTTTTGTCGGGTGTGCGAGTCTTCAGTGAGCCCTAGGAAGCAGGATGTCTACACCAATCGGTACATCCAACATCCTTATCACACATACATGCCTTTAGTAGCATTTTAGCTTCTGAAAGTGTTTATTTTTTGGATTTTAGTCATGCCAGCAGGGTTCGATCCCCGTTTGAGACAATATTTTGCGGGAGAAATAGCGATTCCTATAAAAAAAGAATTAAGTCATAATCTTTTAAAAATGCAGCAAATGAAGCGAATTTCTACGCTTGCAAATGTCTTCAAATTATTGTTCACTTGTTTTTATTTGATGCATTGGTACACGGCATTCCATGAATTTATTGTTAAAGGCAGCGTCCAGGCAGATCTGGACCCATGGGGTTTTTACATGAAAGTACTTTTAGGGCCCTAATTAAGGCACTGCCCAAGCGGCAGCGCAGGTAGTGCTCTAACGGCTGAGATATTCGCCTCGAAACTGGACCCCGCGATCGTGTTCGCATGGATTCATGGCAGTTTCGCGCCAGGATCCACGCTTTGCGCCATGAATCCATGCGAAATACGATCGCGGGGTCCAGTTTCGAGGCGAATATCTCAGCCGTTAGAGCACTACCTAAGCTGCCGGTTGGGCAGTGGCTTAGTTCGGGCCCCAAAATTATTATCTGCGTGAAATCCCCATGTGTCCAGACTTGCCTGGACGCTGCCTTTAAGAACATGTAATAATTACTTGCTATTTGATTTGCTTTCAATCGTACGGTTTTTTTATCCAAACTACTCCCTCTTACGACCCCCCCCCCCCCTCCCTCACCGTAGGCCCCCTTTACGACCCCCGTTGCGACAGTCGCATCACACGCTTGACCCTGCTTGGATCTGCTTTTATTTAAATCTTACCTTTTTAGGAGCTTATCGATAAGAAGATCAGCGAAGGTGTCTTGAAGGAAACAGCAAAGTACAAATCATCAACATCAAAGGTGGGTAACCAGTGGCGTATCAAATTGAAGTGAGCTGCTGATGCTGCTGCGTCGAAGCAGCGAGGCTATGGTCATCTCGGCATATTTTTTTTTTGGTTTTCTTGCTGCTTTCTGCTCTAAAATGTTTCTTCTGTTTCATCCGACAAAAACAACCCAGCTGAATTTTCCTCTTCAGGCAGCTGTTAACAAGCGACGTCGGAAGGCAGAAAAAGAAGCTGAAGAAGCTCTAGAGGAGCAAAAGAAAATGAAAATGGTGAGTGGCAGACTTCAGTCATCATTATCTGCGGTTCTAATAGCCAGTAGCGGATATCAGTACTCTTTTGTACTGGTGTAAAATAACTGCCTTCAGGATGGTGAGAAGAGTTTGCACGCTCTTATTCTGAGTCGTCAGTCGGAGCGTGCATCAAATATGGACGCTTTCCTCGATTCCCTGGCTTCCAAATACGGTGACAAGAAGAAGAAACGCTCCAAAAAATAATCAAAACATAGAATTGGTGATCTCTCTTCAACTAAGTAAAATTGGTCTTTCTGTAATTATTTCTAACATCTGTATCACATTGTATTATCAGCTTGTCACGCAACAATGAAGTGTTCGGGTACTTTCAGCAGAACATAAAGACGATAAATCATTTACCATGATCATTAGCCCATAATCTCCGTATGCTCTTTCAGCCAATGTTAGGTAATTATAAAAGCAACCAAAAGAAAGACCTTTCAAAGATTGATACGACACAAATCGAAAAAAAAAAGATCATAATCACAGGCAACGCTCACAGAAACAGACATTACTAAAGATTCGGAATAACTTACGCACAGAGGCAAAGGGGATGAATGTGATTAAGGCGCTAAACACACATAGCCGGCGCACAATACGCTACAGAGAGCGTAATCCCTGACAAATAAGAAAAATTCTCTAATGAAGCTATAAGGCTGTTGAGAACTATGCGAATTAAGGGCAGAAGCGAAAATACTTGAGAACAAATAATCAGATATTCTCTCCAGACGACATACTTATTCAGATATTGGAAAAGACGACGAGAAAACGACCGGTAACAGTGGAGTGGGGCGTAAGCAGTCATACTTTCGTGAATATATAAATGACTTTGGGTCTTTTATGGTATTTCAAGGATGCAACAACATAATAGCTGCTCCGAGAAAAATGGATATATCTGAGCATTTGAAAGATAAAACTCTAGTAGATTTTATCATTTCTTCTGCTGCAAATTATTCGCTAACCACTCCATTGCTTCATCTAATCCTTCTCCTTTTGCTGCTGAGGTCTTGAAGATTTGGAATGTTCGATTACGCAATGCTTCTAGACCTAGTGCTTTATGAACTTCAGCAGGAGTCAAGCAGCCGGGGATATCCTGCAACATGCTTATGAGTCGTTTGATAATTCGAAAACAGGAAGAAGGAAGATAAGGTCGCTTCCATTCATCACCACGACACTGTCTCACCAACAAAATGCAAACGTAAGAGTGCTTGTTGTATCATATTAGCATAAAAAGAAGAAGAATAAATTTGGTATTACCATCATAATTCAGAAATCAAGGGCACATACCTGCTTATTGGCCAGCACCGCTAGTATAGCACCTTGCAGCTCCTCTTCCTGCAGCATGGCCACCAGTTCCTGACGAGATATCCCAACCTAAACAACACATTGAGCAAATGCTTGATAGGTGAAGAAAAAAGATTTTACTCTGTCTTTATCGGCGGAATCCACAACGTATATGATAGCATCAGTATTAGCATAGTAACACCGCCAATAAGGACGTATTGACGTTTGCCCACCAAGATCCCAAACCTAAAAAGGATGTTAGATACAGGTAAGCATGATGGAAGGAAAGTGGGATTTCATATCCCAAAAATGAAATTATTTGAAGTGCTATACCCTATTTTTCTCCTCTAGGAATGAAATAATATGACGCCGTTTTTTGTGGCAGAATGAGCGAAGCGAAAAATCAATTTTAGCGTTGAAGCGAAGCGAAAAACACACGCTATACGACTAGTTTGATGGCTAGCCACAAATTTCTACGAGAAAATTTGTGGCGATAAGTAATAAGGCCTCCTGTTGTTTCATGTGCTTGATTAAGAAGTTCTACAGAGCTCAAAAGCAGAAGAAGCAAAACTAAAACGTCACACGCAGTGGATGCAACGCGGCGGTAAACCCCTCATCTCATGGTAGAATGATTATACAAAACAACATGGAAGTGAAAAAGAAACAATGAAAAGCGAAAACCTTACCTGAAACTTGAGATTCTTGTACTCTACTTGTTCCACATTGAAGCCTATCGTAGGAATCGTAGTAACCACTTCTCCGACCTGAAATGAGAAACCAATGTTAACTTCTCAATGTTAGCTTGACATGCTTATTACCTGTAATCTATAAAGAATCGTTGTTTTTCCAGCACCATCAAGACCAAGGATCAGTATGCGCATCTCCCGCTGCCCAAACAGACTGCGAAAATAGCTGAGAACGCCTCCCATATCTGAAGCCAAACGTGTAAGTTGCAGTAAAGAAAAAATGTAGCTCATATGAAATATACCTCAATCCTGAGCTGACTTTGTGAGTCACGGTTATCTGAAGACCTCAAATGAAATTAACACTTGTGTAAAATGGTTGACAAATAAAGGGACAAAAACCATGAACAAATGAGCACACTAAAGTCCAAAATTACTTTATATTTTTTATCACAACAAACAGTAACAATGTAGGCAACAATTCATAACAGACAAATCAAATAGACTAATCTAACACTAAGCACCATTAACAATTAATTCTCTATGTTCTAGGCCTCAATTTTCTTTGCAAACTTGCGCTTGTTCTTGAATTTCTTGGGGTTGATACCATAAGCGCGTAAACGACTGTCATCAATTTTCAACTCTTCCTAGAATTGAAAAAAATAAACAGATTCGAAGAGCCGCAAACATACTTTGCCAGGTTCTAGATGTTTCCGCTTCTTCTTCGGTCTAGACCGCTCCTGCTCCTCTTCGCCATTCATGATATCACCGGGTTGCACCGCGGATTCTGCCTTTCGCTTTCTATTCCGCTTTTTCTTCTTCTTTTGTGATTGTTCATTGCCACTGACACTGACTACACCTATTTCAGCCGCGCCGCTGGCAGAATTAGGAAGTGGCTGTGACAATATAACTTCCTAAATTCAAATTGTGATCTCGCAGAAGACTATGATTTACATGTAGAAAACTAACCATGGCAAGGCATACTTCATGAAAAAAAATTGCCTTACTTTAGGTTTAATGGATTGTTCAGAACGACTGCGTTCAAAATAACAAAAAATATATCCGCACTTAAGCTCCATTATTTTATAAAATCGTTTTTCCATTGTGAACTAGACCGAAAAAAAAGAGATAGTGAAAAATATGTAGCACGCATACAAGATAATCAAAAAGCGAACAACTGTTGCAATATGTAAGAAAATCCAGCAACCTACCTCCGACTCTCCCTCAACTGCTTCTTTTGCCTTCTTCTTTTTCTTCTTCTTCTGCTTCTTTTGTTCCTCTTCAATAATAGAAGCAGCCTCTTTCGACTCCTTTGCAGCTTCTTCCTCCTTATGCTTCTTACTCCTCTTTCTGCAAGAATAAACTCCTCCACTTCTAACTGGCACAATTTGTCTCCTACCCGCCAAAATCGGTGCTAAAGATCTTTTCCTTCTTTCTCAAATCAGCGGCTTTTCTTTCATATCGTTTTTTCTCCACCATCTCTTCGTGTTCACTACGATAACCGGTCGCCTGCAAAGTGGTTCTATGTCAAGGTTAAATCGGACAAAAAACGCATACGTACCTTTTTGAGAGAAGCCCAAGCATTGAGTTGTCTATCGTCCGCAGACAAGATCTCACCGACAGATAGGCCAAAGTCGTTTGGAACAACTTGCCTATACTTGAACCTCGTTAGTTTGTCACCTAAACAGCAAATAGCTTGGCAATGTTTTACTTTCAAGAAAAAGAAAAGAAAAAGGGGACATAAGAAACTTACCGATGATATCTTCATAATCCAGTGCGTAGTATTCGTTGAAGTACTCCTCAAACGTCTTTTCCTTTGGGTCAAACAATGGCTTTTTCCGTTGGACGGCTTCTCGAAACTTGCTATTCCGCTTCTTCTTTCGTCGCGAATCTGAAAATGTTAACTTTTAAATAGGTTGACGGTGCATTGACAATGGCAAACAGATACACTAAGAATTCACTAAAAATCTACCTTCTTTTGTGCGTAAAGTTTGTTCAGCTCCATTTTGGGTATTCTCTCCATTCTCTTTTCTAGAGGTCGCGTTCTGTTCAACACCATTACTTTTGCTATCAGACACCGTAGAGATAGGGAAATTATCATAGTCACTACTGCTCGATTCGTCTTCGGACTAAAAGCTATAGCAATCATGGAAGATGACCGTCCAATTATTCTCACATCATCCATATCGCTGAAAACAGGCTTATCCTGTTCCACTTCATCGATATCTTCAGATTTTCCATAGTATTCATCATTGAAAAGTTGCTGAAAAAAACAGTGAATCGGAACGAAAACAAACATTAAAAATAGTGTCAATCTCAATTAGATAACCTTTAATTCAATTGGGTTAGCTGCTGGAAGGCGGGGCTTTGTGACCTAGTTATGGCTGCTCGCGCCCGCGACGCACTCTGCTTCTCTCCCGCGCGCTTACTCTCTGATCAGTACCTAGCCTTGTTTAAATCGCGAAGCCCCGCCTTCCAGCCGCCAAGCCAGCTGAATCAAAGGGTATATGGTGCAACATACCTGCATTCGCCTATCGTATTCTTTAGGATCGAAATCGCCTTCAATGTCATCAATGCTGATGGGAATATCATCTCCAGCCATTTTCTTGAGCTTCTCTAGCTTCTTTTCTATTTCTGCTCTCTTCATCTTCTTTAGCTCTTTGATTTCCTAGAGAACAATCATCTACAGCAAATGTTGAAAAAGCAACAGATAGAATGCACCTGTCTTCGCTCTTGTTTCTCCCTTTCTTTTCTTTCTTTATACTCTTCTCTTTTCTCTTTCCTCTTCGAGTTTGTCTTCCTTATGGACTCGCCAACTGTTCTTGGATACTGCTTGATCTAAAATCGCAGATCGCCACTTTATATTTCGCGGTCTATCTTTTACTTACAAACTCCTGATCTGGATCCTCAAATCGAAAATTATACTTCTGTTCAAAATCACGCTGCCTGTCCAGATCTTTCTCATCTTCTTCAACCTCGCGCAAATCGTCGAGAGTCACGCCGCTCAAAAAATTACAGAATGCAAGACAAGTGGATTTGTTAGATTAGAAATAAAATACTACGACAGAAAAACAGATCGAAATCAACACGAGAAAACTTACTGCTCCTCGATTTCAGGAATAAAGTCCTTGTTGGCTAGATAATCCCTCAGAAATTTCTCGTTTTCATCAATATTTGGATCTCTCCATGCCTCCTTGAGTCCTTTGAGATCATCTCCTTCTCCGATCTCACCGTTTTCACGTTCCTTTAGCCACGAATAGAAATCTTCATCTTCCTTAGCCTAAACAGATCTCAGACTAAGGATGAATGACAGATAAAAAAACGGAGGTCGACAAAGCTTGCCTTCTCCTCATTAGTTTTGTTTTTCGGAAGCAGAAGGTCATCATCATCGTCTTCGTCGTTATCATGTTTTTCTACTTCCTTTCGAAGCCTAAATCAGCGATAGAAATGATTGAAAAAACCATTGGTGGACAACGCTAGGAAACTGAATGAAAAAGACTACTATTTACATACAGATGCAGGAGAAAAGAAGACAGCGATAAATACAAAAGTGTGGGCAGAGAACGGCAAGACATGTTGAATGCAGAATCATAAGCATGTTAGGTTCACTTGCATCATAAAAACTCAACACCAAAAACACATCCACTATAAACATTCAAGTGTAATTGTAGAAAACAATTAGAAAACTAATCAGACTAAGAAAGCATGTGAAATGCAGAGCAATATTCTAATCAAAACAAAAAACACTATCTTGAATGACAACATGCAGAATCACGTTGATAGATAAAAAAGAAAGAAGAAAAAGAACTTACGCGTTCCGAATCTGTTCCTGTTGATCAAAATAGTTGGAATGCTTACGCTCGTCTTCTTCATCGCTCTCATCGATTTGCCTAAATTCTATAAAAATAACGATGTTGCACTGAACCAATTGATAAAAGTGCAATGAATCATAAACGATCGGTTCTCATAGCAGTGTATACAATGTTTCTTTAGAGAGATCTGCGATAAAAATCGAAACGGCGACACGTGGATAGGAAAATTAGGTCAAAGAAGCATCTATACAATCGAGCAAGCATAAACGCATTAGCTTAATTAGAGGAATATAAAGTAAATGCGAAGAAAAAATAAATATAATAAGAAAAGCCGCACCTACCCTCCTTTTTCCAGTACCAACTTTCTCTCATAATCTTTGAGATACATTGGTTTCTCCTTCTCCTTTTCGAGTTTCTTTTTCTTTTTCGTAGAACGAGCCGCTTTTTCTTCGTTTTCATCCCAAAAATTCGACTTCTCATCGTAGATGGAAGCTTCATTCCCCTTTAAAGCACTAAGCGTTCGCAAGAAATGCATCTCATCCGCCGCACTCCACTCCTAAAAATCGCAAAATGCACGCATACATGGCAAAATTATGCTAATATATCACTAGCTACAACAAGTGGAGAAAACCTACGGGCTCTTCTTCACTTGATGAAGTGTCTTCCATATCGTCACCATATTTGTCTTTAACTAAATGACCAAAAGCATCGTTAGATACGAGTGAGAAGCAGATTCATCCTGAACATTGCAAACAACGCACTTTTTTGCATTTCCTCCAATCTTCTCCAGTTGTCATAACGTTCAGCATAGTTTTTATTGATTTCAAGGCTTGGCCCTGCTTCGTCCTCATCATCGGAGTCTAACAGCTTCATTATCTAAACAATTAGACTGAGCTTGCGAAAGCACAAGAGTTCAGAAATAACATACAACCACTTTGGGAAATAGCAGGCATGTTAGATTTGACGATTAAGCAAGTTTTGAAAAGTGAAGCAAAATAGTCTACGTCCCACAAACGCGGGGTCTCAACAAAGCATACTTTTAAGGTAAAAAAAAAATAGCCAGAAAGGCCAAATGACAGAAAGGACAGCAAAACCTGCTATGAAGTAAATTAAGAAACGGCAAATTCCATCAAAAATTGACAGAAAATGGAAAAAGTTTTGCTGCCCTACCGACAAGAAAATTAAACCAAAATTGACAACACTTTTAGCTTTGGACGATTTCCACAGCGACTACTGTACCCCATGAATGAGACAGCAAATTCAGCCACATTTTACGATTCAAAACATCATTCAAAACGTTACGCGCTGAAGCGGAGGCGTACGATGACACGTGAATCTCGTCGATTACGGGCTCTACGCCGAAGACAACGTGGCAGCACAAAATGCAAAAACTTTGTTTGATCGTGAGCGTATGCAACGTTTCATCGTCATTTGTCTTGGATCTCAAAAAGGAAAGGGGAAGGGGATCAAGCGGGCCATTTCTTCTTTGGTAGAGAACAGCTCTGGTGAACTATCACCTAATTTCATGAGTATTTACAATACAGTTGTCTTAAGACGCACCTGTTTTTTGAAATTCCACCAGCCTGAACACACCAAGAAATTTTGCGACCAAAGGACCCTCTACCGTGCTGCTCCTTAAAGGCAGTGTCCCACTTAATAAGGCCTCTCCTACATTGAATAAAAAGTTCAAAATCTCAGGGCCCTGGCCAGATTTCGCTCAAAAGCGCTCAAAAGCATACAAAAGCGCCCAAAAGCGCTCAAAAGCGCCCAAACTTCTCTAATCTCTCCTCATTCTCCCTCATCTCCCCTCACGAGAAAGTGAAGAGACACCAGACCTATTCAATCCTCCGGCCAAAACGGGGTGTAGTGGGAAAGCTCCTCCGCGTTGCTTCTATGGGGACTTCGGAAATCGGGTTGCTGGAGTTTTTGCGCAAATAAGAGCCTGCATAGGTTTTACTAGGTCGGGAAGGCTTGTAATTCGTGAGATCCTGAGACCTAAATTCTGGCGAGACACTACTTTCAACTGAAAGAAATGTGGGACGCGACAACTTCGCGAGATAAGTGATGCGGTCGGGCTGTTTTTTTTTTGGAAAAACGAAAAAGGTGCTTCTTAACCTCCCAGAATTAGGGTAATAGTTAATATTTGAAGTTGCCGAAACTACTTCGAGTCTACTTTCAAAAGAAAGTCCAAGATGGGGCGGGAATCTCAGTGGTAATGACGGTATTCTGCCCCAGTTTTGGCGCATTGTACCAAGTTTTTGAAGGCTTTGCTATGACATTTGAATTTTGGGGAAAGTCATCTGACATGCACTTCATTAGGGACTTGGTTCTTAAAGGCACCGTCCGCCCAAAATGGAGGTTGGCGAGATTATGATGGCATACTAGTGTGGGCCCCCATACTAGACAAACCTCCAAGCTTCGCCGCAAAATATTGCTTCTGGAGCGAGAAATCCGCTCCGGAAGTAGCAAAGTGGGCGGGGCGATTCCGGTCGCCCCGCCCACTTGCATGCTTTATCTCGGGTGGAGGACATTAGGTCGGGGAACACGCGGAAGGCGACAAATGCCCTGCAACAGGCACGACTAGTGGCCACGCCCTGTCCGAGTTCTCGTCAACTCTCGTCCTTCCAATCTTTGTACTGGAGCGCGTCTGCACGCTTTCTACATGTTTCGGTTCTTGTGTGATTCATTTTTGTCTCTGTTCTTGTCTGTCCTTTACGGTTCTATATCTTTCACCTTCTGTGTAAACATTTTTGCTTTTTGCTTTAGGGGTATGAGGTGTATTATTGATACGGGAGTTCCTTCATGTAGTTGCACATATAAGCGAGCAAGAGGAGTCGTCACCTGACTCATCAGAGGTATGATTTTTCTTGTGTTCTGTGCTTTTCTACTTTTCCATTTCATCATTTTCTTATATGGATATAACCTTATGAATGTCCTCCCCCTATTCATACCTAGCCTTTTTGTTATCATCAAAATGTTTGCGCGACTTAATCATTCCATTTTAGTTGAGATGCAGAAAAATCGCTTTCAACTTCGTGCGCCCTAGCTATGGACTTATGAGGTAAGAGCTCTCACTCACTCCTTTTGCTTGACTTCGCCGATCGTTTCTTTTGAAGGATGGATCTCACACCTAAGTGCATTCGAAAGAGGCGAGCTCAAGGGCCATTGACGTGAGCATTCTGTAAACTCTGCTACTTACATTCGAGTTTCAGTGCCAAATTCTGCTTAAGTTTAACTTTTGTATATTCATATGGTTTTTTTATTTTAGCTATCCTAACGGTCCTAGGTTCTTGTCTTTTCTTGAAGAAATGGTACTTAACATGACTTCATTCACTTGTAAGCAGTATTTCTGTATACATAATGGTCCCTTGTGATACCGTTGTCGATAATGACTATGTGGAACAAATAGACTTACAAAAGAACTTTGGAAACTTTGTACAGGGATTTCTTGTTTTTGAAGTGGAGTTGCATTCTACATTGCTGAGTGATGGTATCATTTCCTTTTTTTTTTGTCCTATATCTGGTGCGATTTTGTTGCGAATAAAGTGGTTTTTCTCTTTGCCCTGTCAAACGAAGAATAGTGAGCAGAAAAAATAAGATGAACTTGAGGTATTGACAAAGGCTAAATTCTGAAAGATATCGCGGCTATATTGAGTTCGAGGTGCGGCTGGATACAGATTGATGTTGACATTTTGCCTGAAAATAAGGATTCTTCTTACTTTGAGACTCGAAAGAAAACTGCTTTGCAGCATTTATTGTGTTTGATTCATCTCTATCCGAATGACAGCTACATAACTGCATAGAACTGATGCAATTCCGTTATCCTTATTCAGTGCAGAAGCTAATCGAAATATCGTCGGCTTCCAGATTCGTAGAGGTGTGGAGGTGGAGTCTTGCCAACTCACAGCGGGGCGATTTTTGCTAGCGAGAGAGTACGAAAAGCAATGCTATAACATGGAGGTTTAACAAGTTTATCCTTTTATCAGGCAAAGTCTGCAACACACCTCCACACGAACCTGGGAACTGATCATATGCGTGAGTTAGATGGTGACCGAAATCGAATTTCGCTGCCAAATCTCACACTCAATCAGTTAGCTATCAGCAAACAATCTACGAGTCTACAACTTGTGTTACGTAACCTTTCCTTATACACTGAGTGATCACACCTACCAATTTTACACAACGAACCCTTATGGATAAAACAGATAGTCGAAGACGGCACCGCCACCATTCAGGTGCCAGCCTATGCGCTACAAGAGCGTCAATCTGACTAATTGACTCGAGGCCAGCACTAAACAGCAGGCAAATGGGAGGCGTGGCCACCGTTCCCTCGCCTCTGCTGGGTTTTGTCGCCTTCCGCACCACACCCCATTAGGTCGCCGAATTTGGAAGAGTCCTGCGCGGATTCCCTGTAGGAACGCATGTCCGCGCATGTACAAGGGTGCGTATTTGTCGCAAATGACCGCGGGGACCGCCCTTTTTCGGCGACCTAATGTCCTCCACCCCTTTATCTCGCCTGCGCTGGTTGCAAAGGGATCTCGAAACAGGTATTTTGGGGGGTTTCGCGGATTTTCGACTCCATATTCGGAATCAGGGCTTTCAGAAGGCCTGAAGGCGACAAAAACATTGTATTCGCGATTTTGGGTGGACGGTGCCTTTAAACTCTACCAGCTAAGGCTGCGCAAGAATATAGGACATAGAATATACGAGAATATAGAACACTGTGTGACGCTGAGTGACCCCTAGGTGCATTTGCGCCATTAACGAATCGCAACATTGCCGGAGAGGGGAACGGGCAGAAAGATGCCAGACTTATGCGGTTCAACCGGTTCATCCAATTCACCACACTGTTCAGTTCGTTGATTCAAATTATAGGGCAGGAGGTACTTCACGCGATTTGGCAATTCGCCAGAAGTCTTTAAATCCAACACCAGCAAACTGCACATGCACAGTGTGTATAAGCTTAAGAGAGGAGAGCTTAAGCTCTCCTCTCTTAAGTGTGTATAGCTCACGTGGGATGGAATGCCCTATCTTCTGTACTTCTAAAATGTGCTTACAGTGAGTCAAGGACAGTTGAAGTATTGCCAAATCGCGTCCCGACTGAAATCGCGTGAAGTATGCCCGGCCCTTATAGGAATGAGTGAACTGGACGAACAGGTTGAGCGGATAAGTATGGGACCTTACCCCAGGAAGCACGTCGATGCGATTTTTCGCGCAGCGATCTTGCAACGCGACGTCAACCAGTAGAAGAGCTGGCACTCGTGGCTGTTACTTACAGCATTAAATCACATACCTTACCCCAACCCCATCCCATGTTTTTGCCACCGAAAACTCTACCGATAGGGTTCTTCAACAATTTGAGCGTTGCGGCTGGCAACATAAGTAACAACGTGGTCTCAGACATCCTGAACCACTTGTTGTTAGAGAAAACAAAGCAATAAAAATCAGTTTCGATAACGGCCAGCTCGTGTAGTGCAATCACATTACTTCAGCTGTCCTCTCAGCTCCAGTACAATTCATGCGCAAATTGTAGCTTCTGTCTTTGTAACGATGTTAAACCGACACGACTTTCAAAGGCATGACATCAAGGTGCTGCTTTCCCTATAGATGTGACAAATACTCTACTGGAAGCTTTTTCACAAGTACCCTCAGATTCTGCTTTTGCTTCGAATTCAAACTAAATATCAAACAGTTTATGACCAGCTTCAAAGGAAAAATAGGAATTCTGCAATCTTTATACATGTACCAATACAACCGTTTCAATGGATAACCAATATTATGTTCTGCACATGTATTATGATTTGATACACAGACGCACGTTTACACACAATCGATTAAACTCTACATAGTGATAAAAAGGGGAGAAGAGATAAAATTATTGAACCACCAGTCCAAGCGAACATAGTCAAAGAAAACTATGATCGGTCAACACAGACAGCACTACCACGTACGCGAGATGCAAAACAATGGACCAGTGGAAGTCAAATATATATTTCAAAGGTGGTATGCAAAAGGATCAAGCAATGAAAAGGGAAAAGGAATTACTTCTGCTCATTAGCTGGAGTAGGAGAAGTTGTTTCCGCCTCGCTGAGAGGCTGCTCAGCCGGATCGGGAACCTTCTCCTTGTGGATGGAATGGACTGAAACCTGAAACGAACCTAACTAAAAAGGGTAAGCAAAACTGGCTTTTCAACCGTGTTAAAATTCGTAGAATAATGGGCGGATAAGTCATTATGCACTTTGGATCACATTTGAATACGCACATGAATGGTAAACACGGCTGCAGAGCCAATTAGTCCATATGCACTGGTCTTATAATGAGTTACAGCTTTATTCAAATTCTATATTTAGAAACTTTCAAAAGCTGTCCACAACATCGAAAAAAAATCCCTCTCATGGTGACCACACACAACTAGCAGCATGGCACCTACCGTAATTATTACGACACGTGAAACGATGTGTGGTTGGATTCGCGCAGGGATTAGATGATTGTAAACTGAAATACTTTTCAGAGCGATGGATGATAATCTCTAACTGCAGGTTACATTACACAACTACACACATCTAAGTAGACTTAGCCGGAGAAAATGGCAATTGTGGAAGGCCATTGTTAGCGTCATAGGGTAGATACGATAACCATAAGGCGAAGACTTTCAAAGATTTTGAGGAACGCTGATTTGTGAAGCTGCCAGCCGTGCAGTCTTGACGTTTTAAAAGTATTGGCTCGGCAAAGTGGGCCCCTGTTAGATTTTGGTGTGTAGGGTAGTAGACCCCTCAAGTACATCATATTTTCAACCCACTCTCCCGGGTTCGGATCAAGGTGTACTTTGAGGGAGGGGAGGGGCCTCACCTGGCCAAAATCTGCCAGGGTTCCATCTTGCCTTTTATTGACACTACGGTAGTCGCGCAATAGAATTTTAGCGGAAATCAAAGGTTTTAAAAAGTACAGGTACAGTATCCAACAATTAGCTAACGATGCTATTCCTTACCAGCGTGCTAGATAAAGCTGCACAAAACTGGAATTCAGCACAAAGGCAATCCTTGGTAATTCAGTATAATAAGCTTGTAACCTCTTAACCACCCCAAGATGAGCAAAGATGCGAATATGGATTTTCAAAGATCGCCTTTAACGAATTAGTCACACTGACTATTTCCTTGCTACGCTGCTATGATATAATACACTACCATGACTTTACTGTATGATGATCCAACATCGAAGAGCGGTCCAGATCTTCTGAAGGCTATGAACGATCGGTGGATCATACTATCGCAGACGTGTTTAAAAAATTTCTCTCAGACGGCGCGACACCGCCACGACCGTAGCGGTAATCGCTGCAGTAGCACAGGTGAGGAGAAAGATGAGTGAATTCTGGCTTATAACGATCACATAACGCAAGAACCACCCCCCCCCCCCCCCACTTTTCTCTGACCACGCGCCTGCAGTGGCGGTCATGGTGTAGCCTGGATGCTTTGAGTGACTTTCCATTTCGAACACTAGCGGCCAAGTCTGCTTGAAACTACGTTTTATTCGACAAGGGAAAAATGGCAGAGTTGCGTCTACATGGCGCCGCAGCTCTTATACACTGACGCTGAATTTGTAGCAAAACAGCGTCTATTCTAACACAAGAACCTCACAACAGGTACTAACGTCAACCACAACTTTGTAACTGTGCGCGATAGGTCAACTGTGCGGAAATCTCTGTCAACCATCAACTTGATCTTTAAAGCTTTGTCTGAATCATTACGATTTTTCCATCGACAAAGTCGTAAAGAAAGCTGCAAAGATCAATTACCACATCACCACGAGTGGAGATATGAGACAGTGAAGAAAGTATATTCAAAGCTGAAAAGGGAAGCTACAACCAAAAGACACGAACGAAAGAATCTTACCTGATCGTAGGCCGGCGGTGGCACACCAGCTGGTTCACTATGTTCCACCCATCCATCTATAGGTACTTTCTTCACCGGCAGTGCCCCTGGTGCCGGAGGTGCAGCAGGGCGTCTTCCAGGAGCATCGGCCTAAGCAATGGCATGATAAGCTCTCTTGAATTACGTAACTAGTTTCATTCTCAACATGATTTGTCTAAGATTAATCTATGGTTAAACAAAACACTGAGTTGCTTCGCGAAACAGTTTTAAGATGCTCATCACTAACTAAATTCATGAGTACTGTAATAAAAATTTACAGTGAGCTTGATGAGCATTGAATATGTGAAATCTCGCATACCGCAACGTCCACCATCTTGAATATTCATGTCAAGTTAAGCCTCGGACAGAGTTCACGCGATTTGATCGTCGCGATTCAATTGCTACAAGACAACTGTTACGAGTTCATTGCATGCCGATCAGCTTGCATTTCGGTTGTGATACTTTTCCAGCTCGGAATTTTTGAATGTAAAATGAAAATGAATGAAAATTGCGGCGATTAAACCGCGACGATCAAATCGCGTGAACTCTGTCCGAGGCCTGAGTTCTAATCTGACTTAAGGACATCATGAATTACGCTCGATTCAGCAGCACGATCAATAGCTTGCTGCTCTAGAACACGCCTATGAACGCCGAGTTTATACACTTGGCAACAACATCCTGCATGCTCGATTCACAGCAGCTTGAAAGCAGCACTAAAGGTCATAAAGGCACAAAAAGTATACTCACCGAGATCCTTCTATAGGCTGCGGAGCGCATTACGCGGAAAAAGATGACGGATGCATAAAGCGTCAGCAGCAATGCTCCAATTCCAAACACAATCATTATCCAGTAAAAAACTGAAGGCGGATGGTTCGATGTCATTTGATAACGTACCACTGCAAAAAAAACTTCATAGGTGTTTAGAAGAAGTTCAACCTGCTTACCTTTGATCGGTCGGGCCCTGGCGTCGTCTTCATCAACTGCAGAGACCGGATGTGTGATAATAATGGGTTCTCCGTTCGATAGCATGTTGCCGATTTCAGGACCTAGGATATTTTGTGAACGTTAATACTCATCGTAGTTTTCATTTTTATGGTTCCTTCTAGGATCAGGTCACAAGGAAAATCTTTGGGACAGAAAAGCTGCGAATTCAAACATTGCCTGATTTCATGTTTGGATTACAAATAAGACTATAAAGAGTACTATAGATGTTCAATCAAATTTCCAAAAAAAAACGAGCAAAGACTAACGACTGGGTCCATGAGAGAACATGAAAAGAGAAAAAAGAGACCGAGAGTAATTTCAGTATAATGAACATACTAACCCATGTGAGCATAGCCATCATGACCGCTGGGTCTGTTCATGGCAGAATGGTGCTGTCTGTGCATCTGGCGACGAATACCATCGAAGAACTGTCTCGAGAAAGCATCCATCATTGCATTCATTCGTTCATGCATCGCCATCATGTGCGGTCCTGGTCCCATCATCATATCACTACAATATTGGGACTTTCTCAGATAGGTGTGTGCAATATTCAGAAACTTACGGAGAAGGAATAAAGTCTTCAGCAGGATCGGAGTTGAAGGGGTTACGGAACGAAAGAATATGTCGATTCAAGTCGCCAAGTACATTTGTTACAAATCGATCCACATCAACACTTCCTGTGAGCGGAGCATCTTCGATAGACGTGCTAACCTCATCTCCCTCTTTGCGGATGATTTTGACAACCGGTTTTTCGCCGTTAGCGTAGTTGACTGACATCTGAAAAAATAGGTTCGTTAATAATAGAGTAGGACTCAGCTCTAATGAACTCACAAAAACGCTTCTGCTCATTGGAAGAGAGCAGGCATATGCACAAGCGACATGTGCTCCCGATTCCCCTTTAGTCTCATTACCCTCGCCATACTTGCTGTCGCACTTCTTGTGACAATCGACAAACGAGAACGGACCATCGGTGATCGATGCACGTCCCGCGCAACCGTCGTTGCACGCAATCTGCAAGATAAGAAAGCTTAGAAGACTGGAAAAAGTCTGAACAAACGTAGTGGAGATTGAGAGAGACAGCGTGTAGCGTAGTCAAATAGGGCAAGTCACAACTGCAGCCATAACAGAGGCAAGTACACCTAAACCCGTTGCAGTAATCCACTTCCACCAAATATTAGGTTGTCCCGAAAGTTTTGTCGGTTTTTTCAAACCACTGTAAAACCAAGCACAATAAAGAACTGAGTAAGTTTCAACATGCATTCGATGCAGCTTTTCCTTCTTTTTCTTACGGTTACATTTTCATACCACAATCTTGTATGCTTTTTTTGATAATTGCCAAAGTTCTCCACCCGTCAACTTTACCTGTTCAAAGTTAGGCTAATTTTTAAAAATTTCATTCCGTAGTTTCGAAAAGCGTTAAGTATGAATCAAATAGAGCAATTCTCGGACTACAAGGTATCATTGTTAGATTCTCCTAATCTGCTGTATTTAGCTTCAAAAAATTATTTCTCCTGAGGCCTCGAGTTTTGGCAAAGTCATGAAACACGCAACTGCATTAAATACACGAAAGCTTTCGAAGTTTCTGCTTATTGAAACATGATTCTTACTAAACGTTATTTATGCAACATAACAACTTTGATTCGCTTTGAAAAAGCAGTTTTTTGGAATTTTTGGTACTTTTACTTGTTAAACTTAATCAAAAAACCGCGGTTTTTACCAAATAAATAATTAGAACGGACTTGGTAAACGCGGCTCATGTAATCTAAAATAGATACAGTGTAGCCGAAGGTTTACTCTACATAACACTTATCAGCGTTTTTTGGAAACATCAGAATAAAAAATTCTAAAATTCAGGAAAGATCTGGCGTTACTGCTAAGCTGCTCAAAAAGCCATGGCGATAACATTGCAAAGACATGGTAGATCGAAGAGCAAGTATAACTGTAAGAAAGAGAATAGAAATCTGAACCAAATGGTGCATAAGCCGTCTATGGATTGGTGTTCTGTGAATTCTGGTGAGCGATGAAAGAAACCCACAAAACTTTCGGGACAACCTAATATAAAACCAGCGTGCGCCACGCCGCGCTAGATAGCTCGCAAACATCGCCTGATAAAAACGGTATGTATTTTAGTCGAGATGGCAATCAAGAGATGCTCGTAGTACCCAATTCTAATTCCTCTTTTATCTGCGAAGAGTCTTGAAGATATCAAGTCCAAAACTGTATCTAGAATTGTCGAACTTCGCCCTTCAACAATAATCGGATCTTCGGCGTTTTTATCTCTGATAAAGGTGGATGTCTACGTACGTATGTTGCAGACAGAAAATTCCATTCCTGGACCGATTCGAACCAAACTTTGCACTTATACGGGCAGGGCGGTCGCAGACACCTTCATTATAGATCTATATCGATTTTATCGATTTTTGAAAACTTCGAGCTACACGCTGAGTATGCATTCAGAGGGATAAGAGTACTGATTACGGATAAACCAGTTGCGATTATCGATTACCTTCATCGTTTTCATAGATTTTTTTTTTGCAAAATTGAGCTGCGCGGTTGGGAGTTCGCATAGGGGGATAAGTGAGCGTGTTGATTACAATTATTATAATCTTCTCTAACAACATCCATTACTCTTTCCGAATCTATCGATTTTCTCGCTAACTTTGAGCTGCGAGACTGGGAACTGGTGTAGATGGGTAATTAAGCATGGCTGGTTACACATAGTGGGATGGAATTAGGAATGCGACAGGGACAATCAAAGCGTATTGACAAGGCCGCATGGAGTCGCGTATGCCAGATAGTCTACAGTCTACTTCCTGATGAATCAAAATCTTCAGTGGCCGTATTCATCAACGAACCCCGTGGGTAAGCTTAACTCACGATTTCGGTATTTACGAAGCTAGTGGGCTCGCGAACCCAGCATTGCTTTTGTGGATATCAATCCAATAAGTGGCGCCGTCTTCGCTTATGGTAACGGAACCCATGTGGATAGTTGGAGAAACCGGCGCTGCTTCCACCTTCTGGAGCAATTTTTTCGCTTCGGGATGCACCTTTGTAGCGGAACTTGGACAACTAGTTAACACACTCACGACAAGGCCGGTTTTTCGATTACCACCGTTTCGGAGCAGAGTCTTTCTCGCTTTGTCAAACTAACGACCCACCCGTGGGTCACATTGTCCAAAATGGTAGTGTTTTTGGAAAAAATTCAAAACATGTCTCCGAGAATTTCCCCACAAGAATTATTGAAGGCGCTGATTATCAGATTATGATTTGTTTCAGTTTTTGGCATCGTACGGTAAGGTTACGGTAGTCATGTACGAACAGAACAGCATGGATTTTCATGATAAATTATATTTTGGGGTTATTTTATGTGCTGATCACGATTATAGTGTTCACTTTGTTCACCATTTTCCAGCGGGACTACAAAGCAGTACGGTAGAATTTTCTTAAACTGATGTAAGAAGGCGGTATTAGAACTTAAGACTATCATTTTCGAAATCAGCATGCTGGAAATCTATATACCCTCGATATCATCCCATATGTCTTCCCTCAACATGACGTGGATTACGTGGGTTGATGAGGCGCCGCCTCGCTTTGGGCTCGCGCCACGTTGCGAGCGCATCGTTTGGCGCGACGTGGCGCTCAAACCAACGTGGCGCAAGGCTTTTCCATGTTGTTCTTGTTGCCACATCACGCCGAAGATGCGCACGCAACGTGGCGCGTGCCCGAAGCGAGGCGGCGCCTCATCAAGCCACGTAATCCACGTCATGTTGAGGGAAGACATATGGGATGATATCGAGGGTATGTACCATTGGCTTCCAGATTCGTGTGGAGGTGGAGTCTTGTCAACTCAGAGCGTGGCGATTTTTGCTAGCGAGAGAGTACGAAAAGCAATGCTATAATCTGAAGGTTTAACAAGTTTATTCGTGTTATCAGGCGAAGTCTGCAATACACCTCCACACGAATCTGGAAGCCGATCATAAGGTTTGAGCTTCCTAGGATGAACAATGCAAAAAATCAATAAAATCAATAAACTCGAGGATTTTCGATGGTCTAACATCAGTCTCGTGCCCTCCCCGTAATTCTCGTGCATGTAAACTTGAATTTTCAAAAGCAGCACCATTATGCGAAAAATTTTGAGCTAAAGTCTGTGCCTTATCTCTATCTATGGTATACCTACCGTAACACCACATTACAGTATCCCACCCGGACCACTCTCGCTGAAGCTTCCCCAGGGTGTCTCCAATCATGTGCCAGCGCGCAGAATTCCATCGTAAAATGGCAGAGCTGGAGCTTCGGGAATCTTACGACCCACCGGTGGGTCGTATTGTCCGAAACGGCAAAACACGTACGACCTACCGGTGGGCCGTATTGTCGTGTTAATGAAGGGTCCAGCCATTGTACCACATCGAAAGCTTCACGAGATAACAAAATGAGCGGAGCCTTAAAACCGTTTACCCAAGTCAAATTATACAAAAGAGATTCATTCACGCACATTCTTGCGACCATTTGAAGGTAACATGCTTCAAATGAGCAGTGAAAAGATTCGACATATTTGCTCATACTGCCTGAAAGTTTTACAGCAAATGTTAAGATAGTTTGTAATAACATTTATGAAGATGACTGTTACTTCGAGAAAGGCCAAGTAATAGTGTTCAGCGAATAATCATCAAAAAAGTTGTGTCTCCACATTAAGGCCCGTATGCACGTACGTCCCCGCTGGGGAGGGGAGGGGAACTGGATCCCCAGGGGAACGATCCCCTCCGCCGAACCCCGCCATGACAGAGGGGAGGGGAGCGATCCCCTCCCCTGCGCTCAAGCGGGGATGGTGTGAATGATTTCAGAGGTATTGATCGAGCGAACCCCAGTGCATACGGGGTTCGAATGGGGGAAGGGATCCCTTCCCTTCCCCCACTCGAACCCCGTATGCGCGAACTCAACTCAATAACGCGGGGGAGGGGATCGACATCCCCTGCAAAGAAGTAGGGGTTCGATGGTGTAGATCATGCTAGAGACGCGGATATTCTGGTTCTGCTCAGTCATTACCAAGCATTTCGTTCATTTTGATGGAGGATTTTCTTTGAAAGCCGGGTTCTTCTCTCAGCGACCTGTGGCTTGCAATTTGTCTTTCTTTTCTACATTCGCCTCTTAAGAAGAAATCCGAGCAACAATAGCTGCCAATTTCGATTATTTCTAGGAGTTCTTGATCATTCAGGAAATTTGCGCATTTTTCATATAACATAATAGTTTTAACTATATAGGCTGAGTAAACACACTGTAACTTTCATATTTCATGACATGTTGCCATTATCTTGTTTTTTTAACATAAGCTGCCTCGAAAAAATCTAGAAAGTAGCATATTTGCCTATTTCTGAGTAGAGATCTCCTGGGGAGTGATCCCCTCCCCAGCGTTCCCCTTGTGCATAGCAGGGATGGCTGCTGGGGATCATTCCCCTGGGATAAAGGACGATATGCAGCTGATAGTTACAGCGTTTATGGAGAGCTGGCACAATTTGCAGCTTCTGTTATGTGTTAGTAGAATACTGCTTTGAGCGTCCGCGCGGCACCCCCCCCCCCCTTTTCGGCAGCATAACGTCTTCTACCCATTCCCTTGCAGAGACACATCAACTTCTATAGTTCAACAGTTTTACGCTGAAATGGAGCAGCATGAACGAAAGTGGGCAGCATCCAAGAAAGCAGGAACATAATGGGAGTAGAAAAATTCATTTTTACCGTCGCGAGCGCAGTCACTGCATACGCGCATTCCGCAACCCTAAATTAATTAAAGTGAGGAGATGAAGATGAGTTGTAGTCAAAATATTAAATAAGAAAGAGTTTTTCTTAGAAAATTTGAAAGCAAGGTGATTTCCCCGCTTGATCTCCTCTTGTGCATAAGAGGGTTCACTTCCCCTCCCCACAGGGGATCCCTTGTACGATATTGGTTGTTGTGCATACGGGGGTTCGCGCGGGGAGGGGAGGGGATCCCCAGCGGGGATCATTTCAATGGTTAAGCGCACATCCCCTCCCCGCGGGGATGTACGTGCATACGGGCCTAAGACACATTAGAAGGCGAACTCTTAGGAAGAAATCCATAATTTCCTAGCATCTTTACATATGATGCCTTCTACATACATACTGTGCTTATCTCTCGATTACTACTACCTAACTAACCTCTTTTGTTTTTTACCTGGGGACACACCCTTAACGTGCACCAAGCACTTGAGTAAAGTACCCTAAAATCCCATAAATAAGAGCGGTTTAATTTACCGGTGAAAAATGAATTGGAAGAAATTGAAATTGAATGCAGTCACCCCTCTAACTTGATGGATGGATAAATAAAAATCGGAGAAGAAGTTTAGAAGAAGCTCCGCCCCTCAACTCTAAACCCCGCCCACTTAGTAAAACAATTCATATAGAAAAATAGCGATTTTAACGGAATTTCGGAATTTCTATATGAATTGTTTATTAAGTGGGCGGGGTTTAGAGTTGAGGGGCGGAGCTTCTTCTAAACTTCACCTCCGATTTTTATTTATGCATCCATCAAGTTAGAGGGGTGACTGCATTCAATTTCAATTTCTTCCAATTCATTTTTCACCGGTAAATTAATCCGCTCTTATCTATGGGATTTTAGGGTACTCCAAAATACAGAATAGGGCTGAGCAGTACCGTTCTTTTATCATTGCAAGTGCATCATCATGACCAGCGAAATGTGCAGTAGTAAAATTATGACGCAGAGAAAAACTATGTTTTTGAATATAATTGGGTAAGAAAGAACATAGTCAAAAGGGTATGCAAGGAAGATTGTGCACGCTATCTATACGCTGTTGCATGACGAAGGCGCAATATCTTCGGGCGCGCACGCGGCTATATTAGGAATGGCTATAGGTTCGCAGTGTTCGTGTTCGTGGTGTTCGTAATGTTCGCGGTGAAATAGTATGGCATAGTATAGTGATAGTATCATAGTATCATTAGCATAGTATCGAATAGTATCATCTGGAATAGTATGGCCGATCCCGACAACACCGCGAACACTGCGAACCTATGGCCTCCCTTAGCGCAGAGCGCATGAGATGCAGGATTCACAATGATGAAGATGCGCGCACGCCGCGTTCGCGCCCGCTCAACTAATACAGCTTCTGCGCCTTCGTCATGCAGTAGCCTTTACTTATCGTTTCAAGAATTTGAAAAATATCAATTGACGACCAGATAGTAACAAGTTATTCTAAAACTCAATAGACAAGATGTCTCACCTTGAGTTCTTCTTGCTCCGAATATTTCTCTGCACATTTCTTCTCGCAGAATGACTTGTCGTCTGCGAAAACAGCGACAGCAATAAATAATGCACTGAGGATCGACCTCATCGCGTCAGGTCGTCAGTTCTCACTCGAAACCTGAAAACATCACTGCATCGTAGGAAAGATTTTTCCTCTGGAACTAGATGGAAAGGAGCGGACAAACAGGAAAGGCAACAGCATGTAAGCTGTCGCGACGCGTTGTACAGCATGTTATATATAAGAACAAGACTAGGTAATAAAGGCAATTTCAACCATAAGATTGTGTAGAAAAAGAGCAAAGAATGGCTCCAGCAGGATACGCACAAGAGATCCACCCTTTTGGCAAATTCATACGATGCTAGAAAGCAAAACAGGGCGACAGTTCTTTCAAGCGAGAAGTGGAGAACTTGGTCCACATGAGCGTTCTTAGTCTGTTTCCACCCTAATTTCCATGGGAAACATAGTTAGCAGGGGAGCGAATCAACAGTATCTATGCATTAGTGCACCTACTGAAGCCACATTAAGAAACCTCTTCAGCGTTTTTATAGGCAAATTCCACGAGAAATTCAGTGGTATTCAATGACGTGGGGACAGGAAAAAGGAGAACGACCATCAACTTAACTTCATGACTAAAGTCCTGCATGCTAAATGTTTTACTACCATACTCGTCTGCTAAGCAAACCTTGAGCACACACCCCCTTGAGATGAGGATCGCTTCAAGACATGCTCGCGATATCGTGCATTCGCAGTACCGATAATTCGGCCACATGTGCACGCCAAATGGAAGGCTGAATACGGCGCTTCTGCGCTGGTGCTTCTAGCTAGCCCAAGCGAGGCGGTCGCGCAGGACCCGAGACCTCGAGTTGGGCTCAGTCTGAATGGCAAACGTCGGAAGGCAAGCGTTAGGCGACAAAACGTGCAAAACGCAACCAGCGTAACCCGTATCTCACAACTATACGCCATTTTCCGAAGGCGCTGAGTTATGTATCGGCCCCGATCCCCGCGTTTTTGCCGCCGAAGACGTTTTGCATGGATCCAATTCCTTGAGGTACAAAGAATTGGGTTTGCCGCCTAACGCCCTACACTCGCAAACGCTGGAGTTTCCAATTTGAAGTGCCAAAGTATAGCGCATTTGAAAAATCGTGACGATGCGCGACCGCGCTCTACACGCACGCCATTCCGGAAACCATTTCCTTGATTTTCTAGTCGACTGCTTATTTTTGCTTATGTATGATAGTATTTAGACAGTGGAAGTGACCGAGCTGAGCTTTGAGGTGATGTCTTTATACGAGCATTTTATGCTCCTTTAAAGGCAGCGTCCAGGCACATCGACCTATGGGGATCTTACGTGAAAAGCAATTTTGGGGCCCTAACTAAGGCACTCCCTTCCGGCAGCGCAGGTAGTGCTCTAACGGCTAAGATATTCCCCTCGAAACTGGACCCCGCGATCGTATTCGCATCGATTCATGGCAGTTTCGCGCCAGGACACACGCTTTGCGCCATGAATCCATGCGAAATACGATCGCGGGGTCCAGTTTCGAGGGGAATATCTCAGCCGTTAGGGTACTACCTGAGCTGCCGGTTGGGCAGTGGCTTAGTTAGGGCCCCAAAATTACTGTTCACGTGAGATCTCCATGTGTCAAGACTTGCCTGGACGCTGCCTTTAAGCGCAAAGCCCGCAGTCAAATCCGTTGTCACGATTTTATAGACCTATATGTCGACGTGGTTTGCAGGCATGAGCATTTCTTTGCCTGGGCGGACGCAAGTCGTGCTGGCATCCGATCGGTCCCAAATTGGAAATAGCTTATTATGGAGGCCTATTTCTTTCCCGTGAATCCATTCTATTCATACCTGAACGGGTGTACTAAACTGCGCGCAAAACGCTTCAGTCCGCCATGCGCGCAGTTTAGTGCAAGAAAGTTTTCCTTATAATTCGCCGCGCCGCGATTAAACCATGGTGTACGAAGTACTGGGATGGAGCTTTGTTTAGAATTTCGGACGCTATTCCGTGACGCATTGTCGTCCGTATATCTGGATCCGATACAGTTCCAATCTGGATTTGTATCTCGGATATGCGGACAACAATGCGCACTCTTTTCAATAGTTGTTTGCTATTTCGATCCGCCGTTCATGGTAACTAGTGTAAACTACCGCTTCGCAAAAGATTGATTTCAAAACAAACGACGAAATTTGATACCTTCTTTTTCCATAACCCTTGGCGAACAAAATGAATCATTTGCAAGACTAGAACAAACCAGAACGTCTTGTCTGCAAACAAACTGAGCCTACAATAAGACGTTCGGCGAAAGGCGTTCGTATAGATGCACTTGTTGTTTCCGGAACAAAGAGAACCATGTTTAGAAACTGCATTCCGCAAGTGAAAGATCGATATGCTACCGTGATGTTTTTCAATAAGCTTATCTACCAAACGGAAACCATGCTTTGATGGATGACAATTGCGGCTGAATAAAGGGACATTCAATTCACATGATGAATATGAACGAATTTTAATCGAACAAAGCGCCCATTCAATTATTCTGTTTTTGTAGGACATATATTATCGACAGATAGATATATACATACACGATCGCTAAATTGTTACAGCTATGCGACGAAGCGATAACGACTAATAAACATAAGCGGTTTTAGCTCCAAGAAGAAAAGGGCAAAAAGGGTTTCAGCAGATCGATTTGTACGATACCCGCGGGTTTCCGAAGTTTCTGAACGAGGTGGAAAAATAGGGAAATCCGACTCAGAAATGAATTCTCTTGGTGAAACCGCAATTTTTCACGAGAGTAAACTAAAACCTCATTTATCCTCTTGTGAAGAGGGTTATCAATTATGTATGAGCAAATTTGTTTCTCGAATAACAACCCGAATGAAAAACAGTATAGGCTCGCAAAACCGCGGAGTTGCCAACAAAAGTGGTGTATAAATGCACTGCGAGTCGTTTCCGGACCGTGTGCATTTACAGCTATGCACAGGTGAGCTTATCAAGTAAAGACGTGTACTTAACTCATTTCTGATGATTGATTTGCAGTGGAAAAACAAGTTTAAGCTTGTTAGACAAATGTGCGAAGCGAAGCTAGCCAGAAAATGGATGACAATAACATTATTAGAATGCGTAAAAGCCACTACCGGAGCCGGCGGGGTTGCGCGGATCTTTGCGAAACGAATGGGTGGCTCTAAAAACAAACGATTTCCAGTTGACACAGCCATTATGTGTTTGCTTTTGCTTGATTACTGGGATATTGTTCAGCTCTTATTACTCTAAGCATCCAGTGGATTGGATCGAACTCAAGAATATTTGAGAGTAATTTTTCTTATATTTCGTTTGCAAGAGATAAACTGAATATTTAAGCAAGGCTATATAAAATGGCTAGGAAAGTTTTGAACGTATGAAATCATTCACCTTCAAACCTGAAGGGTATGAAGCATTTTGAGTTCTTGGTGAATGCCTACATTTCACTTGCAGAAAAAATACGCAATGAAACGTAGGGATACTGGCGCATCGCGGTTTCTTTTGCATGAAATCGATAATCAATCGTGTAAACAAAGATCCGAGGAGTGCACCATCTGACAGCACTTTGTATAGCCTAAGATATTTATCTAGAAATTGAATCGAAGAAACTGCTGACTGCAGAGGGTGTGACGGCCTGCTGCGGACTGGCCACGACGACAATCAATCGGCATCGGTCGGCCCCGATGGGGCCGCCGACCGATGAGACGTTGCGCCCCGTCCCCCGCCTCCGAGCCGGGGGATTTGTGAAGAAAAGCGTACTTCCCTTTGAGTGCTCAAAAATTTGCAAAAGCAAGTTCGCGCTGACCACTGCTTAACGGAGAAAACAAACACACGGGTGTTCCCCCGTCAACAGCTGTTTACACGCCAGTCAGCTGGCGCCACAATATCCTCGTGAAAGGTCGCGAACTCATTATGGCGCACTGAATACGGAATGACCTGAATTTTTGTGAAGTGCATTGTTGAATGTGGACAATACGCCTCACACCCGTTTTCAGCAATGCAAAACTGAATGCAAGGCCCGATTGTTTTGTGCTATTTTGCTAGAGTGTACAACTCAGCAGGTTCGGCAGTCTTGTTAGAGACTAATTTTCAGGCATACGATATTATATCATCTGTTTTGGAACAAACAGTAAGGGTCTCAACACGCTTTGCATACATTGTCCAAACATGCTTGCACTTTTTCTTCCTTGGTTTCAAGTAGTAGTAGATAAGGGTAGATTACGAGTGTAAACTTGTTAACCCTAGGATCGAACCTTGTTTGAACAACGTGTGCAAGGTGTATAGGCCGTCCGCGCTGCGCACGGAGAGCAACGCTGTTGCGTACACTGAAGGCAGTTCACGACTGGAAGAAGCTCAGAGAAAAACAGGCGGCGAGAGTGCACGGGGAAAGAGGAGTGACGCGCAATACACCTTGCGCACTCTCCGCGCCCTGCGCGGACGGCCTATACTCGAGTCTCTTACTCCGAGATTAACTCACAGTCTCAGTGAGCTGGGGCGATGACCATGGGAAGTGGGCACAAGTGAAATTTTGGACGAACCCCAAGTCTAAGCAAGGGTAAAGGGGCTAAAAAAACGATGAAGACCTGATGAATTCTTGCTTCCCCTAGTCTCAATCATTCTCGTTTCGTGTTGCTGTTGTGGTAGGGCACTTGAGCTTCGTCCGGGCTTACCAGCTGGTTTTGGTTAAAGTAATGACAAAGCTGAGAAAATAACAGAATATTGAAGGCTGGTCGATACTTGCGGAGAAATCGCCAACGCCAAACACCTGAGAGTTGGGTAATTAAACCCGTTATGATTTGGGATTAACATGTAGCAAATGACTCCTTCATCGGACCGTGACATGAGCACAGCTAACATGACAAACACCACAATAAGTAACATGAACCCAGCGGATTAGAGGAGGCAAGTATGGAGTGTCAAGTAATGAAAAGCATGAACAAGTTGGTGACATCGCTCTGTTCATATACGACGAAATAACGGAACACGGCCGGATAAGTACTTTCGATTTTTGAGACGGAATAGATCAATAGGTTGAGGTCGGTGATAAGACCGACCTCAGCACACTCAGCTCCTCGTCACTTCTGATTTGTTCCGGAAAATCGTAGGTCGCTCAAATATTTC